GACGCCGGGCGGGGGGGCCCCCCCCCCCCCCAGTGCACAAATTTTTGTGCACCGGGCCTCTAGTGTTAACATAAAATAGTTCAAGGTGCCAACAGTTAACCAGAGAAATGCCATCATTTGTTTCCATGGGAGGATGCAGATGGTAAGTGCTCTGATGCTTATGTTGTGGAAATGTTGGCAAGCACCAGAAGGTTACACCAGTGGAGTCAGATTGGATCTTGGTTCCACAATCTCAGTACTTGAGTTGTGACCAAGAAAGAATTTAGAGCCCAGACTCAAACTATAAGAAAAAGTTTATTTAGAAAATCACAGAGGTAGAAGTGAGCCTAGTAGAAATGGGCCCAGGGAACAAGTAACAAAGGCACAAGAAGGGCCTTGGAGTTTAGGAGAGAGAAAGGTAAATTATGGTGATGCACCTGGGGGAAGAGAAAGGGGAGAGGGAGAGTGGCTTTTCCCTAAGGCCCTAGGACTCTTAAGGGTGGGGGTTTTAGGGGAGGTCCCAGGGAAGGATCTCAGTAGAATATTCATCAGCTTCCCAGGTGGCAGGACTTTCAGGTCTTGGCCTCCACTGATTGGTCTGTGCCAGGGCGGGGTTCATTAGTCCATGCATCTGGTCCTGATGTCAACCACTGTGGGGCTTGTCAGGTGTTGCTGCTTCTCTGGGCCTGGAGCTGAAACACAATTGAGGCCTAGATGTATTTGATGTGGGTCAGAACCTCATGTCCTGGGAGCTTAGTGCCGAAGAGCTATTCTGTGACCCCTTTTATGGTTCCCCCATGACTAGCAAATTGCCAGGGGAGGAAAGGTCAGGGGAGGATCCAAACCTCATGACCAGCTATGATATGAAAGGTCAGGGGGTCTGAACTGTATGACCAGCGATATGCTAGGGGAGGAAAGGTTACGCTGGGGGCAAGGTCCTTGTTTTCCCAGTTTTGCCTATTGCTAGGCACCCTGAGCGTTCCACCCTGGTGACCTTCTGAACCTGGTCCATGGTCCTTGCTCTGCTCATGTCTGTCTAATTGCCTACCACAGAAACACACATATCAAGGTCAAGACTTGTAAAACATCATCAGTGTTTTTCAGTTACATCTGCAGTAAGAACTCTACAGTGACGATGTGCCAGCCTAAGTTAGGAAGAGCCCAGAGTGGTGTTACTAAATTTGAATGTGTTCACCACCTTGTAGCTGACTACCAATAAAGGGAATGGCAGATCTATTGAAATTTGGTTGATAGCACTAATCTTTGTTTTGAAGGGAACATTGTGAGTATCCGGCTATTGGGCGTTTTGGTTCTATCAGTGTGATCCAACCCTGATGCCATATTTTAAAGATGTTCTCAAAAGCTGCATTGCGAAGGTCAATGGATTAAGCCCTACTTTCAAAAAACGAATTTGTTGCTTTCGCCCAAGTCACCAAGTTTTTCTAGTCCTCAGTTTCTTTCTTTTATAGAGAATTGAGCTACATGGTTTCAAGTCACTTCATGAACCCTATATTTTGGGCTCGAGTTTTGTATCCTTTCTCATTCCCTTCACTTCCTTCCTCGTACTTCAGACACCTGGTGAAAATATTCACAGTCGTTAAGTGAATTGAAGTTTGGTTTAAATAAATATTGTCCTTGTGTGGAGCTTTCAAAGCTATATTATTAGATAACATTTAGTTCAGAAAACTTTGTCATATGTGCATTCTGTATTTCTTTTAATGGTTTGAAAAATCCATTTAAAATTAATAAGCTCCATTATAGGAAAACATTGGAATACCTCCTATTTTTTGTTAATCTTAGTTTTTTTGCGGGTGGATTGGTGGTAAATCAGTGCTTACAGTGCTATTTACTGAAAGGTATCAGCCTTATCCTTTGAAAATAGTCATGGAGACGAAACCGGTTTGGCTCAGCGGATAGAGCGTCGGCCTGCGGACTGAAAGGTCCCAGGTTCGATTCCGGTCAAGGGCATGTACCTGAGTTGCGGGCACATCCCCAGTAGGAGATGTGCAGGAGGCAGCTGGTCGATGTCTCTCTCTCATCGATGTTTCTAACTCTCTATCTCTCTCCCTTCCTCTCTGTAAAAAATCAGTAAAATATATTTAAAAAAAAAAAAGAAAAGAAAATAGTCATGGAGTATGCTTTTTAAATTTACACAGAGAATCTGTCCCCACTGTCCAACTGAAGTAAAATAGTATTTTTAAAAATGGTAAAATGAAAACATTCAGTTATAATTACATCTTTTCTGCAATATCAAAATGTAATGACCTATGTTAGAGTCTTTTAAGCATAATACAAGATACTGATTTATAAATGTAGTTATTCAAGTACATATCTTAAAAACTATATGATTACCAAGAAGAGAAAAGTTATTTTGCTTTTGTGATTTGTTTGATTATGATGAGCCTGGAGGAGTTATATTTAAGGCAATGATTTTAATTGCAGTTCAGGAGCAAGGGAAACATGTGGCGGTGACCTCCTGTGATGTCACTGTACGAATTCCGTTAGTGTGCCAGGCTCAAACAAAGACCTGGAAGGGAAACCTTTAAGGACATTTCGTAGTACTCTCTGTCATCTTTTCCTAGTCATCATTTTTTTTTTCTTAAAATTTTAATCTCTCAGAATTTTATTTCTACTTTAGAAATTTTAATACTGGTGTTGAATTAATTTCTGTTAGGAACAATTGAAATATTATAAAACTTTTTGAATGAGTTATGTGTATTTTCATTTATGACTAGGAAGCAGTATGGCAAAATGGTTAAGAGAATTGTTGGGGCCCAGATTTGTGCTAACCAACCTCATAAAATGGTTGAGGATTTTACCAGGTAATCCTGTGCTTATACTATTTAGCATAGGTTGTGGCACACAGTAAGATCTCATTCATTGA